CATCCACAATGAGACAAAAATTAGCATAATGTGAGGAAAAATGAGCCCACAGTGAATTAAATTTGCCCCCAGTGAGAAAAAATCAACCAACAACAAGAAAAAATGAGTCGACTGCTGAATGGAAATGAAACAGTGAGTAAAAATGTTCCCACAGTGGAGATAAATGAACCTAAAATTATGAAAAATGAACCTAAAATGAGTAAAAATGTCGCCACAGTGAGTCAAAATGAGCCTGAAATGAGGAAAAATTAGCCTACAGTGGAGAAGCCACGATGGGTAAAAATGAGTCGACATTGTTAAACAACAAACCTGCACTTCTGAAAAATGAACCCATGATGAGTAAAAATGATCCCACAATGAGTAGCAATGAAACTAATGTGACACCAGCAGGAAGACGTCCAGACGCCGCGGTGCGTTCAAAGGCTCTAAACTTTTCAGAGCGTCACCCTGCGGGTCTAACATCACCGTTCAAAGACAGCTTCCTGGCTTTCCGGCGTGTTGTGGAATTTTCTACAGGATCACGTGATCATCTTTGGAACCCTCGTTTTCTTCTGAGACGTGGAAGTTCTATCGGGCCGCGGGACGGATGAGTAACTCTGGAGCTGATAAGGACTTCGGCTTCCTGGACTTTATCATCACACGCCGACACGTTGAGCAACGCCAGCCTCGTAAACACGGACAACAAACACGGCGGATGCTAACGCGTCCTGATAAGGCGGGCGGACGGGCTGTCGGCCGGCGGCTCGGCTGGAACTCACTTGTCCATGGTGCCGAACAGCCACTGGGGCTCCTTGTTGAACGGCATCCTCATGCCGTGGAACTTGGCCATCTTCTCCGCCACCTCGGCTGAGATGCTGCAGTCGCTGAGCTCGCACGTGTCCAGCTTACGGCTCTGTGGACGCAACAGGAGACGACATCGTTAGATCATCATAAAAGCATATACTAGATCAGCACCAAAGCTTCAGCTCGTTTACCAGAACAAACCTCAGTGAAGAACTTCTGTTTCAGCATTTAGTGTCACAAAAACATTAAAACACTAGAAAATATTCTCAATTTATCTGCTACAAGGAGGGATTTAGGATCCTACGTGGGACTAAATCACTATGAATTCTGGGTAAAAAGGACTTTTTTCAAATATTTTATTATTAGAATTTAATATTATTAATGTAAAAACATAGATTTAACTATTTAATTTCGCCACAATATTATTAGAAAATGATCAATTACGAGTCATGTTTTCAATATTTTTCTCAGTTGGTGCCAAATTAACTTTAATCTAGGAGCAGCTTTTAGATTCATTTCACACTAAATCAAGTTTAAAATGTTTATTTTCTTGTTATTTCATTTTATTTTATTTAAATGGTCAAATATTCTTTATTGCGTTTACACAAAGGTTAATCAATAAAACCATGAGTTATTGGTGGTTCTGTTCACGTTTCTGGGACGTTTCCAGAGCAGCCGCTGCAGCCGGAGGTCGACCCAGATAAAGGCCTCAGTGACTCATTCAGGTTATCGGTTGGAGCTCGTTTGTGTTTTTCCATGTTTAAGCTCATCGATCACTGAACACACAAACATGTTTCATCTGTCGCTGCTCAGCTTCAACCTTCGCCGCCACAAACTTTATTCAAATCCACAAAGACAACAGCAAACTGCGTTTACGGCGACATAAAACGGAGAAAAAGTCAAATAACAAGTTACAGGTCGTTGGACTTGTTTTATTACGGTGCTACACTGTAAAAAGTGTATTTCTTTTCAAGAGTTTGTTATTTTACAGATTTTCCAGCTGTTGTTACAGAAAACATCAGAAAATGATTATTAATTTAAATAATTAATGTAAATAATGTCCTCATCAAAAATCTGTACTTTTAACAAATAGTAATTGTCGTTTTCAAAGATTTTACTGCATGTAAATCAGTAAAATCAATATTTTCCCTCCACATTACAACATCCCATTGTACTTTAAATTAATAAAAATAAATTTAAAAATGTAAACATTATTTCTTACGTTGTGAGTAAAGTTCTGTCCTTTCAGTTTTTTAAAAATTTTTTCTCAAATTTTGCCAAATATTATCTGTATTTTAACAAACAAACAAAAAAAACCAGGAAAAATCTATAAAATAACAGTTAAAAAAATTCAGTACTATTTTTCAGTCCCTACTATACATGAATTTTCTGTCAGATAACAGCAAATATGTGTAAAATACTTTTTTTAAAATTATTTTTTGCTAATTTAAATACAGTTTTAAAAAAAAGTGTAATTTTACTGTAAAACGTAAAAAAAAAATTAAAATACAGATTTCTTATTTGGACATTATTTACAGTTTTGGTGTTAACTTTTTTTTTACGGTTAACAAATAATAATTAATATAATTATTGCTTTTGTGATTTTTCTACGTATTAACCAGAATTTAACAAAACAGGTAAAAATCTGTAAAACGACTGTAAATCAAACCATAAAAAGTGTCAAGAAACTTTTTTATTTTGTATAGTGTATGATTACATTTTATTTTTTTAAATGGTTTGAACTAAGTTCGTTGTTCAGCTAAATAATCACATTTTATCTTCAGAGCAGGAAAATTAGGCTTCAGGGAGGAAAAAATACCTGAAAATTAATAAAACTGAGCTCACAGTGAGTTAAAATGAGCCCGTTATGAGGAAGAATTAGCCCAGAATGAGTCGAAATGGAAGCACAGGGAAGAAAAATGAGCCCAATGTGAGGAAGAATGAGTGCAATGAGTAAAACTAAGCTAACAGTGAGGAAAAATGAGCCAAAACCAACCAGTTAAACCACCAATCATCATGAATCATTTTAACCTCACTGACTTTGTGAACAATCAGACGTCAGCGGGTCTCTAAGTGATCCTAGCTGACCAATGAACGGAGCCGCTGGCGGTCATGTGACTTACGGGGACGTACTGCTCCAGGCGGCCCTGAGGGAAGATGCCGTAGAGCTTCGGTCCGAGTTCCCGCTCGGCCAAGATGGCGAACATGACGCTCTCCAGGACCATGGCCTCGGCGCCCTGCAGCGAGACAGGAAGGACGTCACAGTTTAAAAATCTACAAAGCCCAACATCAGAGCAGAACATCTGTGGTCAGAACATCTGGAAACATCTCCGTCAGAATGAGGAGAGTCGCTCCTCGGCTCTGAATCTGCAGCAGTCACACGTTGAAGGATCACGTTTTAGCTTCAGAGCGTCTCAACATCTCTTTAATCGTTTATGTTCCACAAGCTGCTGAAACTCTTCTTTCTGTTTTATTTAATTCAGCGTCTGTGGTGTTAAACTGAAGGAAGCACCTGAACCTTTACATTCAGAGACAGGAAACACTTCCTTTGTTCATCAAACGCTGGATTTCAACGCTCACGTTTTTAAGCTACTAAAACATGAATTATAGAAACCTTCCTAAATTTAGCATCTCCTGCGTCGTGTCCTCCACTGAACCTTGTTTCGGGACATTTTTTGCTCTCGTGGGGCAACAATGAAGAATAAACTTAAAGACGGAGGCTGGAAGGGACTTAAATTATTCATAAAAACGTCCACGGTGGCTTTAAAACACGCTGTACTGGTACCGCAACTGATCCAGTTCAGAGTCGGAATGCTTTCTATTTGATTAGATCTTCACTTTTTAATTGTTTAATCGTTGTTGGAAGTTTATTTATTTGTCTCATTAATTCCGACACTTTTGAGTTACGTTTATTTTCCTTTCTTTTACATTTAACTTGATTTTTTTGTTGTATTCATGTTAATAAATATAATTATTTGCTGCTGTATGGAAGAGAAGTTGTGCATCTTACAGACTGAATAATGGCCAATTCTCCCTGTTTGGTTAAATCACAGATAATGTTCAATAAAACTACGGAAAAAAATGTTAATTTACGCTTTAACCACATGAGAAACTGTAAATAACGTCATAAATCTGCATATTTGCATCGTTTTACAGCATCTAATCAAAACATTGCAGCTTTATTACATTTAAATCAGCTGAAAATAATCATATTTTACGGATATTTGCTGTTATTTGTACAGTTTTTATTGTGATAATAACAGTTTTTTAACCAAATTTGTTTTACAGTGAACCTAGAAGCTAACTTTGACACAGTTTTGTGATCTTACACACACAGAATTTCATATTTATAATGAAAATGAACCATAAAAGCTTCTAAAAATAATTGTTGACACGACCAGAAAATAAATGTACTCTCAGAAACATCAACATCTGAGGTTCAAACCAGGTTTAAGATGATTTAAGGTCATTAAACCACGACGAGGCCTTCGTGTTTCCAGCTAAAATGTGTAAATTCAGACGTTTAGAGGATCAAATTGTGCACTTTTAAGGTTTTTCTGAGTGGACAGAAGATGTGAAGCTAAAGTTCACGTCTGAGAGGAGCTCCGGGGTGAAGGAGGAGGACGGACGGGTCGGAACAAGGACCGACGTCGGGGTTAGTTGGGTTTCTTGTCCGAGCTCAGCAGGACGACTGAAGCTTCCAGCAGCATTTGGCTCCGAGCAGCGCTGAAGGACAGAACCTTTATCTGGGACACAAAACCACTCGGCAGGAGCTCCGGGTCGACACAAACCTCCTGCAAACAGCAGAACCACCGGCGGACCGGGCCAACCAGGCCAGAGGGCGCCAGCTAATTAGCAGGACAAAGCTAACGACGCTAACGGGCTCCGGGCCCATTTACGCCGTGAGAAACTGTGGACCCAGAAACCTGCTGCTGGGTTTTACAGGCTGTTTAAAAACTATTCAGTCACCTCAATTAGAGCATTTGTTAGAGACAGAAACTGTAAAAACAGAAATAACTGTCAGATTTACAACTTTCAGACGGTCCTTGAACTAATCACGCAGCTCTGTTGAGAAAATGGGAATATTTCTCTCATTCTACATGTTTTATGTGAGTCAAAACGAGCCCATTGTGAGGACGAACTCGCCCTCAATGAGCCAAAATGAAACCACAGAGAAGAACAATTAGCCCACGATGAGGAAAACCGAGCTCACAGGGGAGGAAAACCAGCCTGCAATTAGTAAAACTGAGATAACAGTGAGGAAAAATTAGCCAACAATGACTCAAGATTAGCCCACAGTGAGGAAAAATGAACCCATAATGAGTAAAACTGAGCTAACAATGAGGAAAAATGAACCCACAAGGTATTAGAATTAGCTCTCAGTGAGGAAAAACAAAAACATTATGAGGAAAAATGAGGCCACAGTGAGTAAAAATTTCCCTACAGCGGGGAAAAAGTAGGACACAATTAAGAAAACTCAGCTTACAGCGAGATAAAAAGCCCATTTTGAGGAAAAATGAGGCCACAGTGAGGAAATATGAGCCAACAATGAGTCTAAATGAGTCTACAATGAGGAAAAACGAGCCCAAAATCAGTAAAACTGAGGTAGCAGTGAGGCAAAGATAACCCACATGATTCAAGATCAGCTCACAGTGAAGAAAAAGGAATCAATTATGTGTAAAAACAAGCCCGCAGCGAGGGAAAAAGTAGACCTTTATGAGGAAAAACGATCCTACAATTAGTAAAACTCAGCTTACAGCGAGATAAAAAGTCCATTTTGAGGGAAAAATGAGGCCACAGTGAAGAAATATTCGCAAACAATGAGTCTAAATGAGTCTACAGTTAGCAAAACTGAGCTAACAGTGAAGAAAAATTAAACCACAATGAGGAAGAATGAGGCCAGTAAGGAAATATTAGCCAAAAATCGGTCAAAATGAGCCGAGAATGAGGAAAAAAATAGCTCACAGTGAGAAAGATGAGCCCACAGGGGGTTCAAATTTGCCTACAGTGAGGAAAAAGTGGCCCTTTGTAATTACAAATGAGGCCACAGTGAGGAAATATCAGCCAACTATGAGTCAAAATGAGTCAAAACTGAGCTCACAGTGAGTAAAAATGAAACCACAATGAGTCGAACTTAGCTCTCAGTGAGGAACTCTGAACCCATTATGAGTTAAAATGAGTCTATGGTGAGAAAACTGAGGCCACAGTGAGGAAATATTAACCAGGAATGAGTAAAAAACAGCTCACAGTGAGTAAAAATGAAACCACGATGAGGAAGAATGAGGCCACAGTGAGGAACTAGTGACAGACACTGAGCTGCTTTGTTGGAAATGAAGGGAACATGTTGGAAGCTTCGGTTTGTTGCCTTCAGGCCAACGTTTGCTGCTTTAATTTCCCAGAGAGCTCTGAAGCGCTGCAGTAAACGCTGTCTGGTGCAGTTCAGTCCAAACCCAGTGGCCCAACATCCATCAGACAGGCTGCTGCAGAGACAGGAGGCTGGACGGAGCTCCGGGTCTCTGGCTGCCGCCCAACAGAACCGCTCCAGACCGACAGGAAACAGCCAGAGACCGTGTAGCGGAGCTGCTGATCCAACAGAGGAGACCAGAACCGAACCGAGAGGCTCAGAGCTGAACCCTCGCCTCAGAGGAAAACAGAAATAAAGCTGGAAACGGATTTTATAGCCTCTAAAAAATCCTGTTGTTGAGTTCAGACGACTTCTAATGAAATTAAGTTCAAAACGACAAGAATCAGCGTCTCCTCCACAGTCAGACGGTTTTTATTCTATTAAACCATAAATTAAAGCTTTTAAGCTGATTAGTCTGAAAACTTCTGTAATTTGTGGGTTTGACTTTGCGGTTGGATCTCTTCTCTCCAGATAAACGGCTCCATGGCAACGATTTCACACCTTAACAACAACACTTCCTGGTTCTGACCGTCATGTGACCCGCCACAGCCAATCAGAATCGAGACAGGCTTAGCGCAGATCACTGTAAATACAAATCTGTCAAAGCGACAAAAACAACTATTTAAAGATGTATAAATGCAACTTACAATGTAAAATAAAATTATTTAAATACAAATATTTAAATATTTATCTGTAAATGTTGAACTGTAAATATCCAGTAAATTAATTACGTGTGAATTATGTGAAGTTTACGGTTCAGTCCAGGGATTATTTTATTTTTTATATGTTTTAAATGTTATTTACTTAATTATCATAAATCTGAACATAACAAC